ATAATAATGATAACAATAATAATATATGTATAATTCTTTAACAAAAAATTCCGATTGCCAAGTAACTTTAATTAAACGAAAAAAATTGAATTCCTTACCAAATATGGTAATAAAATTAATTCCATTTGTGTGACATATTATTTCGAGGATTCAAATGTATTGAATAATAATCATGACCATCATGAATATTTGATGGATGGAGGCATTTACATACAAGAAATGGGTGTCGACGAAATGATTTTCAACGAAGTAAACGGGACCGCTATTGCCATTACCATACTATTACTATTACTATACATACTCCATACAATACTAAGCCATTCCCATGACCTAAAAGAATCAACAAAATTCGGACTGGCTCGAATCGAATTCGAATTGAATCATCTAATTATGGATCTATAGCATTGCGTGGTAGCTTTTGGTTAATTCCGATTGTTTTACGCTTTGTGACTGAATTCAAATCAACTTTTTAGCTACACTCGTCAATTAATTCTGCAAATTTATTTAACAATTTATGCTTACTGCCTCATTCTTGTACCTAGAAAGCTTTGGCAATCCGTAAGCACATTTTATGGTACGATTTATGACAAATAAATACGGTCCTGACTAAGGCTATTCTAAAGTTCCTTTGTTTATTTGCTTTTACTTTTTTTAGCTGTTTAAAAGTTTACATCAGGAAAATAAATCTCATGTAAACCTATGTAGGGTTTAAAACTGACCAGCATTATGCAGAAATGTTAACAGAATTACCAAAATATCGACATAATGCTAGCCAATTCTGAACCCAACGTAGGTTTATGTAAGATTTATTTTCCTGATGTAGTTGATTTAGCTTCCTTTTCTTTTAACAGCCATACGTTCACTACAATTATTTTAACACAATATTTTGGTCAATAAATGTCAACAACCGTTAACACTTTATACTTTTGCCGATCAGGCCTGACACCTTACGTTTACACTTAAACAAAAACATTTAACAAAACTTAACCCTTTGCTTCTTTATTAAGCAAACACCCCACTACCCGTTGTTGACGTTGCACTGGTTAAAATAAAATCTGACCAAAAATCTCAGAGTTCTATACCACTCTGATAGCAAATAGACAATTAAACCCTGCTGTTTAAATTACGACCACAAATGTATTTTATTAAGCGAAAAAGAATTAATCCATTTTATTAAATTATTAAATTGTGAAGATGTTTTTACAAAACGTAATTTTTGTAAAGAAATAATTTAATGAGCGAAGCGCTACATCCGAGGTGTCGTTTTTATCAACTGGAAATGTATTTACAAAGAAAAGAAAAAAACTTGGTATTCATAATATTCTTTTTTCAAAACTTTTTGAATGCTTCTTATTTAGATTTTTGGCAAGTTCTTAACCAGCTAAGGGTGGTTTTTTAACGGCTGATATCACTAATCTTGGACATTTTACCTATGAATCAGGAGCCTACTATGCAATTTTTTTTTGTCAAAGATTATTATTATATTAATATATTTTTTTGTTGAAATTATTGTTTCCGCAGCAATTCCTAATTCATAATTTGATGTTTGCCCGAAACCATCGTATCCTTTCACTATTATTGCCTTTATATTATATAACAAACGTTAGAGGTATGTTATGTCAGATTCTTTATTGTTGCAAATTATACTTGTGCCTCTATATTCCACAGGATGGATTTATTTTTTTTTTATATTAATATTAATATATCCCTATGTACAAAAAAAATCTAAAAATATGAAAAACAAAAGAGGTATATAAAAGAGGTATATATAACCGTGATATCTGAGTTCAGCTTACATAGAGCCAGTTCACAATCGAATCTCAAACGAAATATTGAACTTATCTATATTATTATATTTCTGTAAACCAATGGGTCAACCCGTTAAACCGAATGTAACCAATTTCTTCGCATTAACGGAGTAAATTTTCATATACAGCCAAACCTTTTTAAACGAATTATAATTAAATTTGCGTTACAACGAATTTTTAAAATTTTTGCTTCACATATAAAATTTGTTGAAACGCGATTAGTAATTTCGGTATAACGAATTTTAATAAAAATAAATTACGTAATAATGATGTCTTGATTTGTGTAATCGCAGATGAAAAAAAATCGCGCGTGAGAATTTGTGTTTTTTTTTTAAGCTACATACATTCTTTCTTTGATGATTTCCGTGACAATTTTAATATAAATTAACAACATGAAAAGAAAATTCGAAATCAACTCAATAATTAATGGTAATAATAATATGAAAATTGAAGAACAAATGGAACCAACAACAGTTGACGACAAAAGTGTAACGGACAATACTGTTGTCGGTGATGAAGGTTCGAGTCCTGAAAATGAAGAACAAGGATTTGCTGTTAATGAAGAATTCAATGGTGGACAAGACCCAAACGAAGAACAAAAAGAAGATCATGTAAAGACATTTTTAAAACAATGGGTATACATGCGCCTCTTATATTGATAATATGCATCTTTTATTATATGTTAAGTTTTTTAAAAAAAATTTTTTTACTTAGCATGTTGAGGCTCCGGATCTGTGTTGTGTGTGTCTAGAGGGTGCAACTGATGTGAAAAATAAATTAGTCTATTGCTGTGGATGGAAATGCGAGGTTATTTGTCACCAAGGTATTAACCACTTTTACTAACAGTGTTAGATGACTCTGTATTATTTTTCTTATATATATTTATTCTTCTTGTTTTTAGAATGTTATGGCATAATAAAGTTACCTGTTGGAGATCATTGGTATTGTGACAAATGTCTTGCAAAACCAGCTGAAGTGGTGGTATGCTAATCATCATAGTTATCATGAAGATTGTTTTTATTAAAATTAAAATTTTATTTTTTTATTTTTTTTTGATAGTCTTGCATTTTATGTCCAAGAAAAACTGGAGCATTTCGTAGATTGAAGGAAGAGAATGGGCTCAAAACAAATCCGTGGGTTCACTTAGTTTGTGCTTTATGGACACCGGGAATGTCAATATCCAATCCACAAGGATTGGATGAATGTTCAATCAGCAATACTGAAAAAATAAATTGGAAAAAAGTAAATTAAATAACTAATTGTAAATAATAATAAAAATCTTGTTATCATTGACAATATTAATCGAATTAATTTATTAGGAATGCTGTATATGTCCTAAAGAACTTGCCAGTCAAGGTGTGCCTCTTCATTGTGATGCATATCAGTGTAGAAATTGGATTCATGTAACATGTGCTCAAGCATATAATCTTTTGAAATATGTAAAAGACTCTGAAATTGATGATCCTTTTTTTGTTGTAAGTTTTTTTTGTTATTATGACTAATTAATGAGATATTATCTCATTAACTTTCTTATGCATATAACAACAAATAGCTTTGTAATGATCATAGTTTACAACCTGGGTCACTTTGTTTGAATGAATGGGAAAGATGGATTTTGAAACGTGATGAATTTTTAGATAGAGTTAGGTCCAGGGAACTACAAAAAGAAACTTGTCAACTTGCAGGTGGAAATGATGATTGGTTAATTGATTATGGGAAAATACTACAAGAAATGTTTGAAGATGTTTATGTTGAGCATCAAAAATGTAGAGAGAAACAAATCATTCAACTTAGAATGTCTATTGCACAGCTTAATTCAAGCTATAAACAAAATAAGGACAATATGGATAAAGCAAAAGAAGAAATTGAATTACTGTATCAAAACGTATTAATTGCAAAAACAGAAACTGTGGAAATAGTAAGATATTTAAAATTGTTAAAATTTAGAGTAAAAACATTTGTTGAAAAGATGATCAAAAAAGACATTGAAAGCATTAATATCATTGGTGATAATTCTCATAATAATAATAGCAGAACCAATACCATTCATGATAATATTTTTGAAATGAACCAATATGCTTTCATTGAATATCCAACTTACAAAGAAGCAAAACATAAAATAAGCAATGGACTATTGATAAAGACAATAATTAAGATTCAAAAATTATTAGTTAAATTACCAAAATCTATATCAGATTGGAATAATGATGGTGTGAAAAAAGCAAAATCAATTAATGTTAAAGGGTTACATAATTTTGAAGAAATTATATTGTTACAACTAAATAAAGCACAAAAAATTTTTGATCAAAGAAAAAAAGAAGGTAAATTTAGAGGTAGTAAGAATATTAATAATGAAAAAACAACAACAACAACACATGAATTTAAAACTAACACTGACAATAATAATAGCAAATACAGTAATGATAGATCAAAATCAAAAACCTTTAAAGTTTCAAGAAAGTCTGCTTCAACATTTCCAATTGATGATAATTGTGAATCTGGTCTAACTTATGGTAGTAATAATGAGACTTCTAATAAGGATTTTGGTACTGCTATTAATATAGACAATGATAACATAAAAAATATCCAACAACAAGCTCAATCATCATCTTCTACTGTAACAAATTCAAACCCATTACAATTAATAGAAAATCTTACTAATCAATTAAAAAAAGAATATTATACTGGTAAAGTGCCATGTCCTGCAGCTAGAATGGGTTTAATTAGTTCATCTGTAAATAATAATAATAATAACAGTAATAATAAGTGTAATAACAAATCATCAGGAATCGTATCTTCTGCTACTTCTTCAAGATTTGGAAAAACATTGTTATCATCCACTTTAATGTTAAGAAAAAAGAATGATAGGGAGAATAAGGATAAGAATTCAAATGAGGATGACAATGAGGAGGATGAAGATGATAATATTAAAGTTTATGAAAATGAATGCAATGATGAAGATGACAAAGATTATAAATCTTTTGATAGTGATAATAGTTTATGATAATAATATTTATTGAATTATTGGATAGTGATTTTAATTTTTTAATCTGTAGCTAATGATAGTTCAATCAGCAGTAATAATAAGTATAATCAATAATGATAATCATAATAATAATGTGAGCTAATGAAATAAAGGATTGAAAATTTGCCATGCCATGGTCACTTTCGTAATTTTTGTGCAGATTTGTTAATATTAAGTAATTTTTATTGTGTTCAGTTTTTGGCAGATGGTCTATTGGGTCTATTAGTGTAACACTTTAACCATATTTAGTATTAGTATTTTATTAATGGCATGATCTACATTTTCACAAAATAAGAAGAACAGTTCGTTATTTTTGGATATTGATAATATTTTCCTATTGTAAATTTTACTATTATAAATTACAAATTTTAATTGCAAATATTGATCATGATAAAGATAATTGGTAGATTATTTATCAACCAGAGAATTTTAAATTTACTTTTCAAAATGGCGACTATATATTAAAAACCCAAATTCCCAGGTTGCTAATAATAATACACAGCAGAATACTTTAATCAAAAAAAAAAAAAATCAATTTAATACTAATACAGTATTCTATTATTATAGCTAAATTCCGTGCATATAGGATAGAGTTAACAGTGATGAAAAGAAAATTGCTCATTTTTAAAATATGAAGCAGAAAAATCTCCAATTCGTCAATATTCAATTTATTGAAAGTCAAAAAACTTGTTCACTCCAAAATATATATAATGGGACCCATTTACAGTCGAGGATTGATAATTTTGGCTATGACTTTATGTTCCCCCGTGCTTTCCCTCGAAGATGGAATAATTTTTAAATAATAATAATAAATAAATATGTCATTTTCATTCGACATCCACTTATGTTGGCTAAACCCTGGAACATGAGCATAAAATCCTAATTTCAAACCTTAAATATTGACACAATAATGATAATTATAAAATAGGATTATCAAAAGTTTCAATAATAATAAAAAAATGTATGTCCGGGGATCAATATATATTGCAATGATGCAAGAAGAATAATTATCATGAGAAGTTTTACAAATGTTATAATTTGAATACTAACTTCGAATTGTCTTTGGTGCCTGAGTTCGAAACATACGCAGGTAGGTCAATATTGGTTGATTTTGAAGTTAACTATGTGTGATAGTAAAAACACAGTAATTATCAATAATAAAATAAAATGTCTGTCCAATATAACAACAAAAATATTTTATCATCACCAGACCAGAAAGAGTAATATTACAGGAGAATTGTTCGTTACACGTCATTCACAAAAGTTGTTTTTTCACTATTCATCAAACCACCAAGTCCAATTTTTACATAATGTTATATTATAAATCATTATATCAATACCATTAGAAAGACAGAAACTTGTATTTAAATTTTATTATGAAATAGAGAACAATGTTACAGTGGCTAATTCCGATAGAAAAAAATTTTTTTCATCAAAAAAAAAAAAACAAGGAGCTTTCTGAAATGAAAAAAATATCATAAAGTTAGTTATGATTTTGAATTAAAAAATGCAACCTATAAAACAGGAAAACCAAAAGAATGTAACAGGTGTAAATTGACAAGATACTCTGATAGATTCTGTAAAGGTTACATTAGCTTACAATTAAGAGTCTTTTCACTACTTGATATCTGGAAATAACATTTTTGATAATTTTATTCAACAATGTCAAATGAAATCATTTTTGCCATACCATATTTTAGAATAGCATATACCTTTTGAGCAAATTGAGGATATAATGAAAATAAAAAAATTCAAAGGATATACTCAAAAAAAATTTAATCCATTGTAGTTTACATTGTGGTAATATACTTATAGAAGGTTGTTATATTTCAGATTTGGAATTATGTGGACCTGTTTATGAAAAATCATTATATAAAAGTCTGAGCTACTTAGATGCGAAATTAATACAAAGAAGCTGATATCTACAGTGTTGGGATGTTGATGTGGGAAATATTTGCAGGTCATCCATCATTTGATAACAGAGCTCACAATCATTGTTTAAATTTTGGTATATGTGAAGAAGGTTTATGACCACCAATATTACTGGAATGCCTGATGATTATGTCCAAATGATGCAGAGGTGTTGGGATGTGGATCCATCAAAAAGACCAACTAATAGATAGCTTTTTGGCTTCACCATGCTCAGGTAAATTATATTTATTATATACATCTTTTGCATGTAAATTTGGAAATAAAAATTGGTGAATCAAATTTAATTACAAAATTTCAAATTCACATAATTTGAATTTCACATACCACATTGTTTTTTGGGAATTGCTATTTCTCACCGGTGGTGATTGTCACCACCTAAGGAATTATACAATTTATGATTAACCCAACCCTAACTCCGCCCCACGCAAATTTAATTCCTTGGGTGGTGACAATCACCACCGGTGAGAAATAGCAATTCTCTTGTTTTTTTATAGATTGCACATGCAATAAAAAGGTGTTAGGTTAGGTTGTAATCTTACAGAAGGTAAAAATATTGAGGTACTTCAGTAGCTAATCTGGTGCCAAATAGAGAAAAAAACAAAGGAAAAATAAATACAATACCAGGTATATCTAATTGGTTTGAATAGCAATGACCAACAGAAGGTGAATATACTACATTGGAGCAAGGTCTTTGCCGAATATAGGTGAATGGAGAAATTTTACAAGTTCAAAAATCATCAAAAGTAGAGATTATTAAACCACAAATTTCTACTCTCATACCTAATCACCTTGCAATATATCAATACTTAGAAATATAGGTAATTATTTATTGGATAAATTTCCATTATTTTTATTGTAAAAAAATATTCTTTTGTAGATAAACAGTCTTCAGAATTTAAAAAACTAAAACTAATAATATTATAATCCCACCAAGTCAAACATTGTAAGTCTTTCAATGAAATTATATTTCTTGTTGCTTACAAACTATATTTAAATAACAATATTTTATTAATATAATTTTATGTAGAGTTTTTGATGAATTTTTGAAAAGGGTGGGCATTAAAAGAAAATCAAAAATTTGGAAATAAGGAAATGGATCAAAATTTTCCAAAAAAATATCATCTTACAAGGTTTTTTTCATGCATGTGATATTAGTAGAAGTGATTTTTATTCAGCTCAAGTATGCATAGAATTAATGAAAATGGCTAATAATGGTGAAATATCTCAAGAGTCAATCCCAAAAGTAGAATCTATTTAAAGCTGGATTTCACATTATGCTGCTGCCTGTAAAGCTGAAACATCAAAACATGCTATAAATCAAAGAGCTCCTGAATTATATTAAAATATTTTATTGTTAGAAAAACTTACATTAGGAGTTCATAATAATGTTATAGTTGTAAAAAAAAAAAATTTGTATATATATCATACACGAAGTCGAAACATTTAATTTCGGGGGACATTTCGACTTTGATCCCCGAAAATTCGAAATGGTGATATCACATGATTCATTATAATTAATAATTTCAAGATTATTTATCTTGAGAACAAGTGATGAAAAACGGCTCATTAGAATAGTCTCGTAAAGACAATTCGAATAATGGTGATTTAATGTCCATAGCATTAATAAATGACGAGTTATTGTAATATTATGGTAAACCAAAACATCTCGATGATCAGTGATTGGAATTGCATCTCATTAATATTAGTATTAGATTCACTTCATTGAGAGAATTCGAATGATAATTGTTTTATTCAAAATAGCCAGATATTGACCAAGTTATGAGGATTTGAAGCTTTTGATTAATTTTCTGTATGTCCATCTTGTTGTATGATGTATAAAGCTCTTCACGAGCTGGCTCATGCGGAGCCTTAATGATGTAATTTCGACCATTTCGATTTTTGATCTCCCAGGTCGAAATATTTCGACTTCATGTATAATATATATATATATATATATTAATATAGCTTCTCCAAAGTAAACTATTTATTTTAATATAGCGAAAGAAAAGTTTTTGCATTTCTAGTTTCTATATTGCATGATTCCATGTGATCTTGCATAATGAAAGGACAAAATTTTAGCAGTTTATTTTATTGATGACGATCCTCCCAGGTTTTTATTAATGGATTTTTATCGTTGATCAGCGGAATTATTATTATTAAATCATGAAGTTGGTAAGAGTTAATTTGATTAATATATGTTTAAACGTTATATAATTTTTGATAATATTATGTAAATAACATGTCTTCATTTTAATTCTATACTTGAACAAGTAGAGAGAAATCAAAATTTTGCCTCCAATTTACTCTCGAGGTATATCAAAACAAATTTTTTATTATTGGTTTTTTTATTTTCAATTATTTTCCCAACAAAAATCTTATAATGTAGATATGGTCCAGGAGAAATTGACATTTTGTTACTTTCAGAAATGGCCTTTACAGATATTTTGAAAAAAAAAAGTATCAATATTATCTTTATTTTTATAAGGATATGTTTTCACCAGCGAGGATCATATAAGACCATAATTAGAAGATGCAGAAACTGGCACCACAGTTCAATGGGCAAGTTTCCAAGGTAAACATAATTTTCATAGAAAGATACATATATATTAATTAATTAACCAATGTGATTTTTCAATCATAATTAAAGTTACAAGATTGCAAGCATTTGTTATGATAGGATATCCTCAAATAGTTAAAGGTATTTATTTGTTTAAATGACAAATCAATTACACATTCACTTTTACACTTGTATATATAATTAATGCCTATCTTCAACCTAAACACATTTTTATTTAGGAAATCCAGATAAATATTACAACAGTATTGTTTAGCTGATCGATCTGATGAACTTATTACAACATATCAAAAAACGCATTTATATGAGACTGATGAGAATTGGGCTGAGGAAGGCCCAGGATTCAAATCAATACACATACCTATATTAGGAAAGGTTAACAAATCTTTTTTATTGATTCAGAAATGGGCTTGTCATTTTCTATATTCTTTTATTAAATTAATTGATTAAGCTATTATTGAAGGTGGGCTTAGCAATTTGCATGGACCTGAGCCCTTATAGATTCCAGGCTTCCTCGTCTGAATTTGAATTAGCTCATCTTCATCTACAAGAAAAAAGTAAAATCATGCTATGCTCAATGGCTTGGCTGAAATCAAGTGAATGTGTCAACAGTGAATTGTTATTGGATAGTTATGATGAACCAATCTATGATACTTCAAATATGAGATATTGGTGTTAATGGTGAGGCTTTACAACAAAATGATGGTGCTAATAATACTAGAGAATCTGAAAATGATAAAGTGTTGTTCGTCATGTGTAATTGTACTGGAACTGAAAATGGTAATAGTAAAATCTTTTCCCTTTACAATAACGTGAAACAATCTCTAATTTTTATTAATCAAATAAATGTGTATGTGTGTATGTGCGTATGTGCATACATAGGTTTATCGTTCTGTGGGACAAGTAGCATTATCACCAAACACTTCAGTTGAATTATTAGGATTGTTGGAAGTTAACAAAGAAAATGTCTTGTGGTTGATGTGCCATAATGACAACAATATTATTATTATTCATATTAATTTCATTAATTAAAGATTGTTGACTCATAATTTATTGTTCACTTGAAAATGAAAAAAAATAATAGTCACACGAATGTACATGTGATATTGTTACACATTTGCGTTGTTCTCAAGTTTAATTTATTTGAATTTCAAAATTTCATTTATTAATCCATTTCATTAAAAGAAAGAAAATACAAGCCTGATAATATAAAATCATAAACATAAAAAAAGGAAACAATTAAAACATGGTGTGTAAGGAACTTGGTTTTACCCAGTTTCATTAAAAGCGTGTTGTTTACGATATTATTTTATTGATCCCAGCTTTCTTCACTTTTCCAGAGCACAAAAACCCAACAAAAGGAAAAAATCAGACAATTTATGGCCTTTACAAGTGCAAGGTATCAAATATTGATAATAAAAATGACATGACAACACAAGTTTATACATGTATATTAGTTGGTCTATTAACTTTCAATTCGATATTATAATAAAACAATTAGTGAAAAAGTTTCTCAAAAAAAATTAAAAGAATTCAATTGGAATGTCGAAGTAGCCGTAGACGATTATTTTAATAATCAACCTAGCACCACCTCTTGGAGAGGCTTATCAACATCTCAAAGTTCAAGTCCTGGAATAGATTTAAGAAAACTTGAAGATGTATTTAACAAGTACATAGGTTAGTTTACAGTTAATCAATCAGCTAATGAATTTGATTGGTTGATTTCATAAATTATACTAATGTTAACATGCCATATATATATTACAACCCATTTCTATAGATAGGGATGAAGGCAATGATAGGGATAGAAAAGGAGTAATTTCAGTGGATGGAGTAATAAAATATTGTAATGATTTGGGAGTTGACCCTGAAGATGTTGTTATGTTGGTCATGGCTTGGCATCTTAAAGCAGAAAAAATCGGTGAATTTAAATATGAAGGATTTATTGAGGGTTGGTCAAAACTAAGGTTCTTTTAACACAAATCCTATTTTTCTAAATTTTATTTTCTTGAAAATGTTGTTAATTATTAAAATTTCTGATTTAGATGTGATACACTTTTAAAGATGCGAGCAGCCATACCTAGTCTTAGACAAACCCTGAATGATGATAGTAAATTTAAAGAAATTTATCAATTTACTTTTAAATTTGGATTAGGAGAAAATCAAAAATCTTTGAGTATGGACTATTATTGTGTTTTTTTTTTTTTTTTTGAAAAAGATAATTTCTCGACTATTTTCCAAACCTTTACTTACTTTCTTTAAATATATTAGGCCTTGATGTAGCAACTGAATTCTGGAAATTATTATTGAGAGATCATTGGCCACTTCTTGATATCTGGATAGAATTTGTCAAGGTTCATATTATAAATCCATTTATCTATTAAACCTTTATTTTATTTAATGTGTGTGCACTTTTAATAATTTGTTTATTTGAATTAGGAAAAACATGGTAAAGCAATCTCAAAAGACACTTGGAATTTGGTATGTATGTTATGTGCTATGCTGGTAATAATTTACCCCTGGTAAAGAAAAGAAATTAATTATTTCATTTGTGTATTATTTTTTCTAGCTGCTGGAATTTGTCAGACAAATCAATGAGGATTTAAATAATTATGATACAGAGGGTAATTAATTAATTAAAGATTTTTTTTAGTTAACTCTAAGTTTGTAAAGATTTATTAGTGTCATTAATGAATTTCTAAAATTTCATAAATTAGGAGCTTGGCCAGTTCTCATTGATGAGGTATGGTATCAATCAATCAATCAATAAATCAATAAATTAATCAATAAATCGATTGACTGTTTTTAATACCTTTATTTTTCACGTTCTCCTTCCTCACATTAATATTAGTTTGTAGAATATGCCAGAGAGAAATTGAAGATATCAGCTCCTCCAGTTCTTTAATCAATTTATTTATTTATAACATAATAGATTATAATAATATCAATAAAAATATTGCTTTCTCTTTTTTATTCAATTATTTATATATAAAATATAATATTTAGATTATTCTACAAGTAAAATGTTGATCTTTATCATTTTTGGTATATTAAAATTAAATAATATATATATATTAATGTTAATTACACTAGTACATAATAATTAATTAAATCTCAATCTTTTAAATCTTTTCCCTGCGAATGACCATTAAACACACTCATACAAACGGGCAAATAATCCGTCTGTCGCCAAATTAATATTAAATGAGTTATCATGGGGCAATATTGTAGACATTTTAGTTCTTAATAAGCCAAATGACTTTTCATTTGAAGTCAGCCTTAATTTTTTAAACCCAAAATCCCCATTTTGAAACTTGTAATCAAGTTTTAAATAAATTAGAAAGAAACTTGTTGTAAATAGTAATAATAATAAAAAAAGCTTAAATCAAAATTCAAATTAAAACGACGGACAGAATTCTATTTATGGGAATCATGTGATCACCATAAGTTTAATTTAAAAAAAATTTTTTTTTTTACTATAAAAAATATATCTTTCTTAATATATAATTTAAATATAATTTAAAATATAAACATATATATAAACATATAAAATGGGTGCAAATGATGAAGGTTGTAAAAGTCTCTATGTTGGTAATCTCGATCCAAGAGTAACGGACAGCATGCTTCATGAGATCTTTCGTGTAGCCGGATCTGTTAATAATACGAAAATTATTCCTGATAAAAATGTGAGTTGACCTTAGCAATCACGACAGGCCAATATTAATCGATTGTTAGGAAAAAAAGGTTTAGGGTTTATATTTTATATGTGCTACTGTTATTACTGATACTGGTGAATTAATGAATCTTGGTCATTTCTTCACCATCATTGTTGTGGTGTGTGTGTGCTGTGTGTATGATTTGAGTTGGTTGGTCGGCAAATCAAATTTCTCTCTCTCTATTTCTTTTTTTATTTTCTTTTTCTTTTTCTTTTTCTTTTCCTCTTTTCTCTTTTTTTTTATTTTTTATTTATTTGAATATCAAAATTATTTAATAACAATATAATAATAACAACAATAATTAAAAAAACATAAGAATCACTATTTGAAAACGAGCTCTGAAGTAATCCCAAATGGCTTGGCTACTCTGGAAACACGAGTTGCGCTCCATACTTATATATGACGCAGCTCAAAGGTTGGATTTCCTTTATCTTCCCTCAGTTTAATTTCTCTTTATCTCTTTATCTATCTATCTATCTATCTATCTATCTCTCTCTCTATATCATTTTATTTTATTTTACTTTATTTATATCATTATTTATATCATTATTTATACAGATAGATTTTATTCGTTTCCCTTTTTTTTCTTTTATTCCCCAACCTTTTGATAATATCAGCTAGTCATATTTATTATTTAATGTGGGGCAAATTATTATTACGTTCACTAAACAAAAAAAAAAGTTTGGATCGTAGCCTAATCTCTTATACCTTTAGCAATATATATATATGGACGCCTAAATTGATTTTTTTTAATTGTTGATTTTATTTTACCATTACTAACAATTTCAAAATTTTTTTTGCCTCTTCATTAATCATATGTTCTTGTGGTAATAACATTATCTTTTAATTATTTTAAGTATCAACATGGTGGTTTAAATTACGGTTTTGTTGAATTTAACGATCATCGTTCAGCAGAGCAAGCACTACAAACTCTTAATGGCAGAAAAATATACCATATGGTATTTTCTATTTCATTATTTAAAACTTTCTTTGATATTAATTTCTAAATAACTTGCTTATATAAAATTTGTCATTTATATAGGAAATTAAAGTTAATTGGGCTTTTCAAGGTCAACAGGGCCATAAAGAAGATACATCTAGTAAGTTTTATAATTGAATAAATAATAATAATCATGAAATTATAATTTTATTCAATTGTTATTATTTTTTTTTTTCACAATTAAAAGATCATTACCATATTTTCGTTGGTGATTTAAGTCCCGAGGTTAATGATGAAGTACTAGCCAAAGCATTTAATGCGTTTGGAAGCATGTCGTAAGTCGATAATACTTGATGCACTGTTCTAAAAATATTTATTTGTTAATTATTTATGTTTATATTTAGTGACGCACGTGTTATGTGGGACGTTAATTCTGGAAAGTCTCGAGGTTATGGATTTGTAGCATTTCGTGATAAAACCGTAAGTTATGGATTGCACCGATCGTTTTTCTTGTTTTTATTTTATTCTCACTATTTTTTTTTTTTTTTAGGATGCTGAACAAGCAATTGCAACCATGAATGGTGAGTTTGGAGAATCAAAAAGATATTGTTAGAATAATCACTACTCATGCATAATTTTTTCTGATTTTTAAACAAGTTGTAGAAAGGTAATGTTAAACATTTGATTTTCCCTCCTTTATTTTTTTATTATGTATGTATGCATGTATTTAGGTGAATGGCTTGGAAGCCGTGCTATTCGTTGTAATTGGGCCAATCAAAAAGGTCAACCTGGTCCTGGAACCGTAACAACAGAACGACAAGGTAGCACATCGCGGAATTTGCTTTTTAATCTTTTTCATTAATTGATATCCGTTTTGTTTTTTTTTTTCATTCTTATTTATTAGGCTCAAACACACAAACACCACAATTATCTTATGACATTGTTGTAACACAGACTCCTCCATACAATAGTACAGTGTATGTAGGAAACTTGCCTCCTTATACCACACGTAAATTTCATTTCATTTTTCACTTCTTTCTAACACCAATTAACATTTAAAGAAAAGGGATTTTATTCATAATTTTTATTTATTATTCGGTGATTTTTTTATTTTAGAGGAGCATATTATACCATATTTTCAACCTTATGGTTACATCATTGAAGTTCGCATGCAAGTAGAACGTGGGTTTGCTTTTGTAAAGTGAGTTGTTTTTTTCGCTTGATGTTCATCCTCCATAATTATTAGGTAAATATTTTTTTTAATGATTCTAATTATATTCATTGAAAAATTTTTTTAGACTAGATACTCATGAAAATGCTGCCAATGCGATTGTGAATTTACAAAATACCGTTATTAACGGACGAACTATTAAAGTAATTAAATAATATAACAATTCATAATGTTTCAAGAATCAAGTTTTTTTATTATCAACTAATTTCTTTTATTATTAAAAAAAAATTTTTCCTTAGTGTTCTTGGGGAAAAGATAGAGCACCAGATCAAACCACGACAGCTTATCATACTTATGGAGTTCCAAGTACTTATAATATTAGTCCATATGGTTATTATAATCATACCACTCATCCTTATGCTACTCCAGGTACTGAAAGTGGATATGATCTTCCACCTGGTATGTCAGCCCCGCCACCATCTATAGCATCGCTCGACGGAGCTGCAGCAGCAGCAGTAGTTGCTGGCCAACAACAACATCCTACAGCTGGTTGGGAAAATTATTATAATAATGCTGGTTATGATTACGGACAACAATTTTATCCTTATGGTGGTGGTTACAACGCAGCAAACAATGCTTCTGGTGCAGGTGCTCCGGGTGCTCCAGGAATTGGTACTCCTAATTCACACGCTTCTATTGGCGGCGGTCATCCACCTTCTGTAGGTAGTCATGGTCCTGCGAGTGGAAACACTTACTCTGGATAAATTAAATTAACAAATAAAAAATGAACATATATATATATATAATATTATATAAATATTTTTTATCTTTTTTTTTTTATGATTGATTTTATCAAAAAATTTTTTTCTTTCCAATTTTTTTAAAAATACACTCATGACTCATTATTTTATTATTATTTATCAATTCATTCATTGATTAATTTTTTTTAATACATTATACATTTACGTAAATCAATCAATCAACACATACAACTCAAATATTATATATGGGGCATAATAATATATATATAAATATATATGTTAACTTTGCATAATTTTTTACATTTTTTATTTTATCTTTTTTATTTTATTTTTATTTCTCTTTTCCATCAATAAAATAAAACAATTTTTATTATTTCTCTTTTATTACATATTTGATTTAAAGAAAAACAATGGTAACGATAATTTTTAATTTTTGAATTATAAAAATAGAATTGATAAAAAATTTTGGCAAAAGTAAGGATATTCTTGATGCTTGAGATCTTACAGGAGTAGGTGGCCAATATTGGAAGTGATAAAAAGAAAACGTTGGAATTTTTTTAGTGCCATTCAACTTTTTAAAATAAATCAAAATCAAAATATTGAAAGACATTTCTATCTTCAGAACAGACAACATTGAGTTTTATTTAGTTAGGACTTTGACAACATGATCCACATAATCTACACTTGTTTTATGATAGGGTTTCTTGTTAATCCAAGCTATTACATTTAAATTTTTGCATACCTTTTACAAATTGCTAAATATAAATAAAACCAAATGGATATTTTTATTTTTATTTTTATTTTTATTTTATCCGCCAGCATTATCACAGGTAATCTTTAGATACCTCTATCACATTCATTCAATTTTTTAATTCTATCAAAAGTCATCCCAAGTATGCTACTAGCTACCAAATCATCTTCATCAAGAACGTAGTTAAATTTGTTCTCGTGACTACCAAATAGACGGTTAATAATATATAATCTTTATTTTAATATCAGTATTTAATTTCACTTTATAAATTTTAAAATAATCTCTTTGTTTGACTTTTAATTCATCAAGTACACTGCCATGTACTATATTGATATTTTTATAAATAGATAAATAGTAAGAACTATAACATTAGTAACATAGCTAACCATGCAGTTTTTATTGTTTATATTAAGCTTTCTGCCAGATTTTTATATACACCGAAATTTCCACTATAATCATTCCAATCAAGTGAATTATAACCCACCATTAATTGATCTGAATCTTGTATTTTGCCAACTACAAGAGTTTTTTTTGATATTATCACATTTTTGATGAAATGTATTTGGATTTAAACCATCTCTACGGTATGATATAAATGTTTAAATTTACATTTAACATATTTAACTGAATTATATGGTGGTCTTTTTCAATTAATCCAACTTGAAAAGGGCATATTGTCCTCTTGATTGATAATTATTGAATTGCTTGACGGCAACAAATTTGAAGTTGATTATTTATTAGGGGTTAAATAATAATAACCTTGAAAAAGGTTTTTGATATGGGCATAATCTTCTCACTAATCCTCATTGAAATCTAATCAAAGGAATAATTCCTTCTTTAATTCTCTGAAATCATCTTCATTCCACGCTTTGAAGCATCATCTTCTAAATTTTCAATTTGTTCAATTCTCCATTGAATAATGCAATCACAAATATCTAAACCTAATCTATTTTTAAAAATTAGATAAAACAAGTATGGTCTTTCGATATCATTGAAATCCCAAGAATGATCCTAGATCTCTTGTGATCAAGTTTTCAAAGTAATCTTTAAGTATGCTAAATGATTCATGTCTTGATGAAAATTGATAAAGGTAATTTAAATTCTGCTGGACCCAAATGATTTTGTAAATCATCAAACAAATAATTAAATCTAGCCATCGCATGCCACAAGAAGTTCATCAATCTCGTCAGGATTTAGATTCTTATTATTTAAATTGATAAATAAATCATTTGTTAAAAAAATCAAAAATTCAACTTACATTAAAGTAACTAAAATAACCTAGTGCCATCTTCTGATAGAGCAGTTTTGAGTGACCCAACTTTTAAAATGCTTTGAATGAGCTTTAAAATTTTAACATTCTGGTCTGCCCCAACTTTTATCTCCATGTCATAAAAGTCTGATTGATTTATAGATCGGTTAAACCATTTACAAATTTCCTGATATGTTTAAATGGCAGTAATTTTATCATTATCATCGTCAGGATTAAAGAAGTTGTCAAGGATGAAAAACTATTAGACATTTTTGAATGGTTTTTTTAAAAAAAAAAATCGAATGATTTTATATATATAATGTTAAGTCTGTTTATTTATTTATAGTAGCATAAATATTAATACTGAAATTCAAAACTTAAACCGAAAGTCAAACGAATACATTTGACTAAAAATCGCTTATTCTTCAAAAATAAATTATTAATCTTAGCTTTTTTTTCTAAATTTAAACCATTTTTTTTCTGCCCATTTTCTAATGCGTCACTGTCATCATTATCATAACCACTATATCATTTGTTTTATAATCATTTGTATCTCTACAAGTTGCAGGTTAATTTTGATATTAATATCAACCACTTCTATACCAAGGAGTCTTCCTGAAAACGCTTTTCTATTAGGTAGTGTGTAGGCGTCTAAGTAACTCAACAAAATATGGATTCTGAATAACATTAAAAGATATACCACACATTACAAATGCCCTGATTAATGCTCTATTAATATTATTTACTATATACATTAATAATTAATAAAATTTACTACAATTTCATGCAAGCTGTATAAATTAAAAAATTATTATGTATTTTTTCCCAGTTGGCTACTAACCTCTATCCTTTATACTCCTCATGCTTTAGATTATGTGCCAATAAATATTGATATAACACAAAATTGCATCACCCAAGTAATAATAATACTTAGACCATGCAAAAATGAAAAGAGAAATGATATATATATATTTATTTATTTATCATTGTCTTAATAGTAATAGATCCAATGTTAAGTTCAGGTATTGAATCTAATAAAAATTTCTCCCTCTTAAATCAGGCCAGCTTGGCAGCTAATTTATATCCTACGGCTGTCCCAACGGAGAATCAGCAACCATCTGAAACCTATTATGGTCTGCCTATACTGCACTCAATCATACTATGACGAAAGGGAAATTCTCACTAGCAGCATTTAGTCACCTCTTTTAGAAAAACAATTAAAAAAATTGATTTAAAGAATAACAGCAATCACCTCTGTTATTCAATTTTAAACAATTGATTTAAACTATTACTATTCAATCACCATTATTTTTTGTGTGTTGTTGTGTGTGTGTGTGTGCTCTCTCTCTGTGTGTGTGTGTGTGTGTGTTCGTTCGTTCGTGTGTGTTCTTTCGTTCGTGTGTGTGTGTGTTCGTGTTCGTGTGCATTGTATTCTTGTGTGGTCGAACCCTCGTTTCAACGGATTTTTGTTTCAACGGATTTTTGGTTTTACCCCTTGATTTTATTAATTAAAAAATT